ATGATAAGAGCTACCAGGCTTCGCCATTTGATATAGAACCTACATGTTAAGATTGGCGCTCCGTTCTTCCCCAAGAAAAGTGTTTTCGCGGTGTGGTGCGTTTCGTTCAGTTGGATCCAACCAGGTCCAGGCACACTTTCAGCCAAACTTGTGTGATCACAGAGTGCCATTCAGCAAGACGTGGGCGTCGCCTGTTTGGCCGCCCTCCACACAGAAGGTTTTCCTGATGAAAAAGAGAGTGGCCCCGGCGATGTTCTTGCTTTTCCTCATGAACCATCGACGTTTTTCCCCCAAACAACTTCCTCTTATTTGCCTCCCAGTTCTCTCCCAGTTCTTTTCATTTGTCTCCCAGGCTGGGTGCTTGTGGTCGGGTTCCCGGCTGGCTTGTCTCCCACTTCCTCTCATTTGTCTCCCATTTCTTTTCATTTGTCTCCCAGGTCACTTCCTTTCATTTGTCTCCCACTCCTTTTGACTTGTCTCCCAGTTCTTTTCACTTGTCTCCCAGGCTGGGTGAATGTGGTCGGGTTCCCGGCTGGCTTGTCTCCCACTTCCTTTCATTTGTCTCCCAGGCTGGATGCTTGTGGTCGGGTTCCCGGCTGGCTTGTTTCCCACTTCCTTTCATTTGTCTCCCAGTGTCTTTTCATTTGTCTCCCAGGCAACTTCCTATCATTTGTCTCCCACTTCCTTTCAATTGTCTCCCACTTCTTTTCATTTGTCTCCCAGTTCTTTTCATTTGTCTCCAAGTTCTTTTCATTTGTCTCCCAGGCTGGGTGCTTGTGGTCGGGTTCCCGGCTGGCTTGTCTCCCACTTCTTTTCATTTGTCTCCCAGTTTTTTTCATTTGTCTCCCAGGCCACTTCCCACTCCTTTTGACTTGTCTCCCAGTCCCGGCCGGCTTGTCTCCCACTTCCTTTCATTTGTCTCCCACTTCTTTTCATTTGTCTCCCAGGCTGGGTGCTTGTGGTCGCTTCTTTTCTGCTTGTGGTCGGGTTCCCGGCCGGCTTGTCTCCCACTTCCTTTCATTTGTCCCCCACTTCTTTTAATTTGTCTTCCAGGCTCGGTGCTTGTGGTCGGGTTCCCGGCTGGCTTGTCTCCCACTTCCTTTCATTTGTCTCCCACTTCTTTTCTGCTTGTGGTCGGGTTCCCGGCCGGCTTGTCTCCCACTTCCTCTTATTTGTCTCCCACTTCTTTTCATTTGTCTCCCACTTCTTTTCATTTGTCTCCCAGGCTGGGTGCTTGTGGTCGGGTTCCCGGCCGGCTTAAAGAATGGTCGCCTTGGTGCTGGATGGTCTGGTCGGGTTCCCGGCCGGCTTGTCTCCCACTTTCTTTCATTTGTCTCCCAGTTCTTTTCATTTGTCTCCCAGGCTGGGTGCTTGTGGTCGGGTTCCCGGCTGGCTTGTCTCCCACTTCCTTCCAGTTCTTTTCATTTGTCTCCCAGGCCACTTCCTTTCATTTGTCTCCCACTCCTTTTGACTTGTCTCCCAGTTCTTTTCTTGATATTCATTTGTCTGCCACATCTGTCACTGCTGGTGTCCGCCCTTTTCCACTGGCCATGTAGCATTTCTATTCATTTGTCTGCCAGGTCTGTCACTGCTGGTGTCCGCCCCTTTCTGCTGGCCATGTAGCATTTCTATTCGTTTGTCTCCCAGCCTGCACTGCTGGTGCCTGCCCTTTTCCGCTGGTGATGTAGCATTCCTGTTCATCTCCCAGGTCTGTCACTGGTGGTGTCCGCCCTTGTACGCTGGCCATGTAGCATTTCTCTATTCATTTGTCTCCCAGGTCTGTCACTGGCGTTGTCCGCCCTTTTCCGTTGGCCATGCAGCATTTCTATTCATTTGTCTCCCAGGTCTGTCACTGCTGGTGTCCGCCCTTTTCCGCTGGCGATGCAACATTTCTTTTTGTCTGTCTCCCAGGCCTGTCACTGGTGGTGTCCGCCCTTTTCCCATTTGTCTCCCATGTCTGTCACTGCTAATTTCCGCCCTTTTCCGCTGGCCATGCAGCATGTCTATTCATTTGTCCCCCAGGCTTGTCACTGGTGGTGTCCGCCCTTTTCCGCTGTTTCTATTCATTTGTCTCCCAGGTCTGTCACTGCCAGTGTCCGCCCTTTTCCGCTGGCCATGCAGCATTTCTCTTCATCTCCCAGGTCACTGCTGGTGTCCGCCCTTGTCCGTTGGCCATGCAGCATTTCTATTCATGTGTCTCCCAGGTCTGTCACTGGTGGTGTCCGCCCTGGTGTGTCCTTGTCTATTGGCCATGAAGCATTTCTATTCATTTGTCTCCCAGGTCCGTCACTGCTGGTGCCATGTAGCATTTCTATTCATTTGTCTTTCAGGTCTGTCACTAGTGGTGTCCGCCCTTTTCCGCTGGGCATGCAGCATTTCTATTCATTTGTTTCCCGGGTCTGTCACTGGTGCTGCCGCCCTGTTCCGCTGTTTCTATTCATTTGTCTCCCATGTCTGTCACTGCTAATTTCCGCCCTTTTCCGCTGGCCATGCAGCATTTCTATTCATTTGTCCCCCAGGCTTGTCACTGGTGGTGTCCGCCCTTTTCCGCTGTTTCTACTCATTTGTCTCCCAGGTCTGTCACTGCTGGTTTCCGCCCTTTTCCGTTGGCCATGTAGCATTTCTATTCATTTGTCTCCCAGGTCTGTCGCTGCCAGTGTCCGCCCTTTTCCGCTGGCCATGCGGCATTTCTATTCATCTCCCAGGTCTGTCACTGCTGGTGTCCGCCCTTGTCCGTTGGCCATGCAGCATTTCTATTCATGTGTCTCCCAGGCCTGTCACTGGTGGTGTCCGCCCTTTGCCGCTGGCCATGTAGCATTTCTATTCTTTTGTCTCCCAGGTCTGTCACTGGTGTGTCCTTGTCTATTGGCCATGAAGCATTTCTATTCATTTGTCCCCCAGGTCCGTCACTGCTGGTGCCATGTAGCATTTCTATTCATTTGTCTTTCAGGTCTGTCACTGGTGGTGTCCGCCCTTGTCCGTTGGCCATGAAGCATTTCTATTCAATTGTTTTCAGTTCCGTTACTGCTGGTGTCCGCCCTTTTCCGTTGGCCATGTAGCATTTCTATTCATTTGTCTCCCAGGCCCGTCACTGCTGGTGTCCGCCTCCGCCCTTTTCGTCGGCCATGCAGCATTTCTATTCATTTGTCTCCCAGGTCTGTCACTGCTGGTGTCTGGCCTTTTCCGCTGGTGATGCAACATTTCTTTTCATTTGTTTTCCAGGTCTGTCGCTGCTGGTGTCCGCCCTTTTCCGCTGGGCATGCAGCATTTCTATTCATTTGTCTCCCATGTGATTTCTTTCTTTTTGTCTTTCAGGTTTGGTGCCTGCGCTGCTCTTTTCTGCCCCTGGAACAGGTTCGCCTGTGAAAGGTTCTTGCTCCTTTGCAAGGGGTGCGTGACTGTCTCCGGGATTGCATTCCTGCCACACTGTGTAACCGTCTCAGCTTTGTTTTCCTTTTCGGGCAAGCGTTGGATGAATGACTGGATTGGATTTCGGCGGCGTGGCAGCGACCTCTCTGTTCAGTTGGGGCGGAGGGCATACGTCAGGCACCAAAAATCAATTTCATGTCACATCCTTCGCTCCTCATGCTTTTGTTTCTTGTCCTCACGTGGTCAGCTCCCCGCTGACTGAGCAGCATGACCAGCATCATGTGCGCGCTTGAAGAATAATTCCCCAAAAGGTTTACTGTTAGGGCTTCTCAATTCTTTCTTAAGATGTGTCCGCCCGCTCTGTACTGCTGAGTCCGTCTCTGCCTTGCAATCCTTTACATTTGTCTCCCAGCTCTGGACGTCGCAAGCTCTAGTTTCGACTTTGAAAAACACAAACTGTTTGGGGTCTGCGGTGGTGTAGTTTGGCTTTGGGGATTACGTTGCTCCGCATGCTTGGGTTATTGGAAGCGATTGTGTCTTGCTGCAGTTTGAGGCCCAAAACTGTATTCAAATTAGGCACGGGGTGAAGCAAATGGTTCTGAAAACCCGGCCGCAACGTTTTTAAGGACTTTATTGGAAAAGGTTGCTTAAGGTATGGTTTTTCATTTGGTTGTGCTTATCGGCGTTTCTTTTTGAAACTTGGAATGCCACACGGGCAAGTCTGTGAAGTGAGACCCGGGCGGCCATTGCATCGCCCTTCTGCCAAACTCACTCCCGCATAAGAATGGATGGACCCGACAGGTGTCGGGCACTTTGGGAAAAGAAACCTGGGCAAAGCAGCCGAGGCCACAATATTATCTTGTTTTTTCCAACTGGGAGGGCCAGACCTTCCCCCGAGTCGAGCAGCTTTCTCATACCGACCCGCCCCCGATGGCGGACGCCCCACTTTCGCGGCCCTGGCTGCGGCTGGTGGCACTGCTGCCGGTGCTGGTGGCGCTGGGCAGTGGGGCCGTCTGGGTGGGCACGTGGCGGTCTGGCGTGCAATCTGCCACAGGCGCCCGGGTGCCGGGCGCCGGGCGTGGGGCGCTGTGGGGGAACTGCGGTCCCAGCTCGACTGGCCGGAGTGGCCTTGGGTGTTGCGCGAGTTCACGGTAAACGCGGTCAATGAGACATGCCAAAGAAGGCCAACATCCTAATTTGTGTTCATGCATGTTTGATGGATGTGAAAACTCAACCAAGTCGGCGTGTGAAACGGTATCACAAGTCCCAGTGAATTTCACCGCTACTGATTTGAGAGTTTTGCGCTTAGTGGTGCAACAAAAGAAGTGGCATGCTTGACGGCACTTCGTTTGGAGACCGTCCGGTTGGTCCCCCCTCAAGAGCAGCCGCGCAGCACTCGCTCAGCACTGCCAAGAACGGTCAACCGGGACGTTAGGAATGCACGTTAGGCATCCACTGCAGCCCGTTGATGACATCAAGAACTTGCAAATCTCATCCGAAAATGGACATGCAGAGCCAGGTCCCAGGTCCCAGGCCCTTCTGTTCTCCCAGGTCCCAGGCCCTTCTCCTGGGTTTTCCTTTGCACCCCATTCGCTCTCCCGCCAGGCTCCTCGGTCCGCCGCCGGGCGGTCATGGACCGGCCGCCCACCGAGACGGCGCCGCCCGTGACGGAGCCGCCGGTGGCGGCGCCGCGGCGGAGCGAGTGGTTGGAGTGCCTCATCCAACACGAGCTGCGCGCCGGGCCGGAGAAGAAGCACGCGGAGGCGGCAAGGGTCCGGTGCGTCGCGGAGAGGATGGAGAGCGCGCGGATATAGTGCGCGGTGCGGGGGACTGTGGTGGTGCGTGGAGTTAGGGCGGTGGGTGTGTGGTGTGGGGTGGGGGGATGGTGATGGAGTTATGAGGGCAATCGGGAGTGGGAGTTGCGGGATGCAGGGCATGGGAGCGGTGGGGGCCGACGAAGAGTTGGAGGAGGATTTGTGGTTTCGGGGAGGGCACAAGTTAAGAGGATGGCCAGACCACGTGGCTTCGCCCGCGACACCGGGCGACAGCTGGAGGGTGTTGTGAAAGCTGGACGGTCGTCATCCGTGCCGCAACGGGTGAGCATCAACTGCGACGCAGCAACGGGTAGCCGCATTTGGAAGTCAGACACGAACAGGCTCCGTGCTACCGGTCACCACCAGCCATCCACCATAGACACCTGGGAGTCCAGTCGATGTTGTTGAAGATTGTCGGATACTCGGTGGTCCGAGTTAGGCATGTTCTTTATGTTAGGTGGACTTCCAGGGTATGTCATATATCGATCTACATACAGAATACATGTAGACACACCCATCCATACATCTCCAGGTGCTTCCTCGGAAGGTGTTTTGGACACTCCAAAACCACCCCATCCCAGTCCCACCGGGACTGAACCGTTGGGAGCGTTTTGGTCCAGTCCCGCCCCACCGGTCGGCCGCGCGGTTCGGGCCGTTGAACGGGCGCCGTTCGACCAGGTTTGGGTCCTGCGGCGGCCGCACATCAACTTCTTCCGGCGTTTGTTGACCCTGCGGGGCTTCTGGGTTCGCCGGCCCCAACTGGTTGTTGGTGGTCGCAGGGGAATGGAAGGGGGTCGAATTGGTGGAAGGGCAGGGCGGTGGGGGCACGCGGAAGCGGGTGAAGCCAGCAGAAGTGGGTTCACGGTTGGGTTGTAGTTATTTTTCTCAGAGCAGGTGGGTTTGAAGATGAGGGATGGCTGGTTCATGGCCCTTTTGAACTGAGTCCTTCTTGGTTCTGGAGCATACCCGCCTGTCACAGCCTTTTCGGAATTTGGTGTCTCACACAAACGCTAACATATAACTGGGGTCTGTCCATGTCTGTCCTATTACCTGTGACAGTAACCGTCAGTAAACAGTTATCACAATTTTTGGGCAAGGCCTTTACTAACCATCATAATCCACTGTTGCAGGTAATAGGACAGACCCAACATATAACTACAGTTCAACGCTGGATGAAAGTCGTGGTGTTGCAAGAGCAGGATGAAAGCAGTGAAGGTGAGGGGGAAGTCAACGCGACAGGCATACAGAACTGGTCGGAATTGCTAAGACACACTGTTTCAGGGCAAATGCCAGTCTGCAGCGTTTCCAGTCCTGACTGTCAGCCGGGGCTAGTGCTTCCCAACACTCTGAAGCGTTCCAAATCTGTTGCAATTCAGTGGTTATGGAGTTGAAAACTGAGTTATTCCTGACGGATCTCTTCAAAACCGTGCCAATCCTCGCCGGAAGCCGCTGTTCATGGCCTGATTCCCACAGTTTTGCCCTGCTGCCATGTTGTGGCAGGAGCTGCTGAGAAGCTAATGACATAGGGTTCCAGGCGCAAGCAGCTTCATGCCGCAGAGAAGGAATGGGAGAGTGATCAGATTGGCTAACGAGTTTGCCTGGTGGCTGTTGGAAGCAGAGCCCGGTGAATATAGCAGAGCAGAGCTACAAGATCTCTGGCAGGATTTCTGTGAAGAACAAAATGCAGCCACTGCGGGCTTTGCCACCGTGCTTTACTTTCTGAAGATTTGGTTGGTAATCAAATCGCTCCGCAAACAACACTTTTTCCAGCTGGTGCAGCCTACTCAGACCAGGACATGGAAAAACGCATGCGCCTGGACTGCGAAAAAAGGGGAAGTTGTGAAGCGTTGTGAAGCTCAAAGCAAATACCACATAGACGTGAAGTAGAGTCAAAGGTTTCAAAAGTGTAGTTGGTGCATGCTGGTGCCAGTAAATATCACGACATGTGCGCACATATGTAAATGTTTGTCTTCTACAGGTCCAAATCCCGCTCAGGCCCTGGAGAGCTGGAGGGCAGTTTGGAGGGTCAGAAGCCAGCTATGCCAATGATCTTTGCTCGCTTCTTGAGCCCGACTGAGCTGCCAGGGCACTTCAAGAGATTGAAGCCGGATCTTCGCGTAGTAGGTTGTTGTGCAGGGACTGTTTTGATTTTTGTTCAGGCATTTTTTGTTGATAGAGCCCCAACGACCACCTTTTCACTTCTCGAGGTTTGTGTCACCAGGACCCACGTGATCCTTTCCAAGTGGCATCAGAAAATGCTGAAGTGACGCTTCCTGGTATGTTATGCTAACTTCCTGCCCCTTCCGGAAGAGAAGCCAGACCCAAGAATGAGAGTGCACCCTTCCTCAAGTGCACCCCGCTGCCAGGAAACAAAGCCGCCTGTTCGAGATGCGCATGAAGCTGAAGCAGCTCCTAGATGCATGGAGGGTGCCTTGCCTGAAACCCTCGGAAGATGGGACGCTGGTGCTGTTGGAGGCGGATCTGCAGCGGTGGCCCAAATTCTTCAGCAGCTTGCTGTTTGCAGAGGAACTCCAGATGAGCTTCGACATTGCTGTCTATGACATGTATGTTAAGGAGCCTTTGCCGCGAACCTTTGCCGTAGGTGTTGCCCAACTGTTCACCTTAGAGGTTCCGGGAGTGGCGGAGAAGCGTCCCTCGGTTCTGCGGGGAGATGCGGTGCTGGTCATCAGTGGAAGAGGGCGCTTCAAGGCGTACGTGCATCGCGTGCAGCAGGACAGGGTGGACCTGTCGTTCCACAAGTCCTTTGACAACACGCCACCCTTTCAGGTCAAATTCTTTTTCACCCGAACGCCTCTGAAGCTGATGCATCGTGCCTTGGAAGACACCAAGAATCGAATGAACGACATTTACAGTCGCGACACCGATGGGCAGCCGCCTGCACGAGCTCCTGCTGCAATAGACAAGTTGAATGAAGATGAATGAAGAGCAATCTCATTTCGTGGACGCCGTAGTGCGAGCGAGGCGGGTCATGCAGATCTCCTTGTCCGTGTCAGAGCAGAAGTTGAGCAAGCACCTTGCAGATTCAAGTTCAGATGCTCGGGATGATCGGCTGCGAAAGCATGGAGAGCACACACTCTATCACCAGACAGATGCTGAATCAGCTCAGAGGATTCTGGACACGGGGCGAATGTTCAGAGGCTTTGCTGGCGCTTTAGGTGGTGGCATCTATTTTGCTGCAACACCCGATGACACCAAGAGGAAAGCACGGCGTCAGGGTGCTATCTTGGAGTGTTCCGTCAGGCTTGGTCGAATCAAGGAGGTAACTGCTTGTGACACTACATTAACTTTTACCAAGCTGCAGCGTGAGCGCTTTGATTCTGTGCTGTATCAGGGCTTCTCTTCTGGTCCAGAATACGTTGTGTACAACTTCGACCAGGTGAGGCCCTTGGGCATACATGGAAAGCCTCGCAAGCTTGCTCCCAAGCCCATTTTGCTTTGGGGTCCTCCCGGCACTGGCAAGACCACCACGCTCCAAGCCTGCGCATTGAGGACTTTCTGCTTTGTCATGCCTTTGGTCATTTTTATGCTTTTTGTTTTGCATAAAGGTCAAGAAAAATTCAGCTGCAACGTACGCCCCGGCCTTTATTGATCTTTATTGCCGTTCGGCTTTGAAACACCCTCTTGTGAGGTTAGTTGCAGCCATCCACCGGGTCCTACAGATCCCAGGGGCCAAGGTGCTTGCTGCTGCCCCCTCGAATGCTGCAGCGGACCTGATCTGCGAAAAACTCAGCGGGAAGGGCTGTCGCAACATGCTCCGCCTGAATGGCATGCTTCGCAGTGAGGGGGAGGTGCCAAGTTCGGTGAAGCCCTTCACGAAAAAGGGCCAGAGTGGTTTTGACACCTTCAGCATTCCTAGCTTGGAGGAGCTGCAGTCGTTCGACCTGATTGTTTCCACCTGCACATCAGCCGGCTATTTGGCCAGCCAATGCACCTTGCCCGGTTGGTTTACGCACGTCTTTGTAGATGAAGCTGCGCAAGCCTTGGAGCCGGAAGTCCTAATTCCAATCAGCACGGCGGAGCCGGGGGCTCTCATCGTTCTGGCGGGTGACTTCAAACAGTTGGGTCCCGTCATTCGATCGCCAGAGGCTGCTGCGCTGGGCTTGGACACGTCGCTGCTGGAACGCATGGTTCGCCACATCGGCATCGACCATCCCAGAGTGCACACGCTGTTGCGGTCCTACCGAGCGCATCCGAGCATCCTGGAGATCTACAACCGTATCACGTATGGTGGGATGCTGAAGTGTGCATGCCCTCGCAGCAGCTTTGACATGAGTCGGAGTAGTTTATGCTCTGTGGACCGTTATGGCAAGCGGCACCCAGTGGTTTTCCATCATATTTGTGGATCTGAAGCACGGGAAGCAACCTCGCCATCATGGTCAAACCCAGACGAAGTTGAAGTGCTGCGGTTGTACGTGCAGGATTTGCGCGAGATTGGTGTCAGTGCGAAGGATGTGGGAATCATCACACCATACCAGCTGCAGTGCAAACGATTGCGACTAATGTGCAGAACAGAACAGTTTCCAGCTCAGGTGGGAACCACGGAGCAGTTTCAGGGTTGTGAGAAGCGTATCATTTTGCTCTCGACGGTGCGTTCTCGCCAAGAGAACGAAGTGCCACAGGACTTGAAGTTTGCCTTGGGGTTTGTTGGTCATGAGAAGCGCTCCAACGTTGCTCTCAGTCGTGCACGGTCTATGCTGGTGCTTGTGGGAAACTTGCGGTTGCTTTCAGCAGATTCTCATTGGCACCAACTCATACGGCTGGCCTCGCATAAGGGTTACTGCACAGGTGAGCCATTCGAACTGCAGACGCCTTGGACCATCGATGGTGCACGGTTCCAAGTAGGTGAGTCAGGCGCTGAACAGGAGCTGGTCTCTCGCCCCTGGCAGAGGTTTGAGTGACTGAGCGGGCTTGAGTGACCCCGTGAGAAGTGAACGCTTGCCGGCTAAAGAACGCGATTTGCACAGGCTTTTCAGAGTCAGCGCCCGGAGCTTGACTTCACAAACTCACGCCTGAAGTCACTTGAAAGAATGCCTTCCTCACACCCTTCCCCCTCCTCTCCTGCCTTTGCTTCAACTCGCCTCCCAGGCGCACAGCTCCTCGTCGCAGCTCAAGTGCCGAGAGCGTTCCATCGATGCGGAGATGAACTGCGTGGATTGCGTGCGCCTGTGGCCGGGCCGCACGAGGCCGCAGTGGATCAGTAGTGCCTTCAGTCAGTGGATTGGGGACACCCCACGAAAATAGACTTCGCCACTTTCCCGACTCTTTCCCTACAATTCATAAGACCTCATTTTCTAGCTTTGTCCATACAAAAACACGACTGAACAATATTGAAGCAGATGGATGCAAGCTCATTTGGCTTATAAACTAATCCCCCCCGCCCCCCCCCAAAAAGGTTTATCCTCCAATGAAGTCACAAGCAGAAATGGACAGTTCCTTCGCTTCCTTTCTTTCGCCTTCCAAACGGCCTGCCTCGTGGCGGCTGCGGCCTCCTCAGGTTGCACGGCGGCTTCTATGGCCACATGGGCGTGGCGGTGCCGGCGCATCCCAAGCAGGAGAAGGTCATGGGGTGCCTCCAGCTCTCCAAGGTGAGGCGACTCCAAGGTGTTTGGACTGTTGAGACATGAAGGAACGTGGAAGAATGCGCGCCAGTTGGTTTTGGGGTGGAAGGGTGGTCGAGATGGAGGGACTAGCTTCAAACCAAAGCTTCCAAACGGAACCTTTTCCTTTGCCCTGGGAGCCCGCACCTCTCGAACCTCGGCGCGACCCGCCAGGTGCTGAACGTGGAAGCCAACCCCGCGGACGATCAGACCAACGGCGCCTGGGATTCGGCGCCCACGAGCCAGTACGCCTTCTGCAACACCCTCAGCGTGAACTACAACGCCATCCCCTCTTAGAAAGGCCGGCAAAACCCCCGGTCCTGGTGCGGCCTCGGGCGGCCGGTACGCCATCCCCTCTTGGAAAAGGCCCGGAAGTTCCCCCCCCTCCCCGGTGCGGCCTCGTTTGGGCGGGCCTGTGAGTTTGGGGGGATTTCCTTCAACTTTATGTTATTCTTTTTTGGGGATTTCCTCGATGCAACCGGTCTTTGTCTCCGTGTTTGTCTCGCTTTTGGTTTGGGCGCCAGAAATCCTATCTCTTTTTCCTTTGGGGGGGTAGGAGCAAGGGCGCTACTAGGAACAAGTGCATCGCTACTAGTAACAAGTGCCTCACTACTATGTAGTAACAAGAAGCTACTACTAGTGCCTTGCCACACCACAAACGCCGGGAAGGTCGGGCGCTACCGCCTAGGACGGGTCGTCCATCCCGCCAGGCGGACGGGCGGAGCCCCTGACGACCGGGTCGACCCTTCCGTGAGCTCGGCGGGCACCGGGGGTGGGTGGAGCTCAACAAGTCAGAGAATTGGGGTCTTGTGTGGTGGGGGGAGAATGTGGGCAGCTCCAAGTGTAGAGCGCGTCAGTGAGTAGAGCTACCTATATACGTACTTTATTACTTTTTTTGGTAGGCTAAAATCACAAGCAGGAAGGGTGAGCTGTCCAGGTTCCTTCAATGTTTGAGATTCTTGATTCTTGTCCCACTTCAATCGTTTGCGCGGAAAACGGCCATGTCGGTTGTGGGAACGATGGTGCCACGAGTTTTGGGGAGGGTCTCTCAAGCGAGCGGGTCGGTCCTATTTTCCGAGCCATTTGCTGCTCTGATGCTTTCAAGCCGCTGTGGTCCCACCAGCTTGCCATGGACTGGAAGAGGTTTTATACCCATCACGGACACTGAACGGACCAGAGAGTTTCAGCGAAACGGTTCGAAATCTGGAGCTCTGTTTTGGATAAACCAGGTAGGCACACAAACACCAACACAGCAGAGTTTGGCTCCAGAGTTCGGACGGAGAAGCAGAGAAGGGTTCTCGAGCTGCCTGATCCACTGCATGCAATGCTGGTGGTCCACGGCACGGTGGTTTTTTCCGGAGTTTTGGTGGGCTTTTTCCCGTTCCTGGGCTTGGCGAAGTCATGAACGTCAGAGCCCCCCCCAGAAGATTGGCATGGTCACACCTCTCCAGCAGATGGTGGCACCTACTGACTACTGAGCTGGTTTTTGGCAAAGGTCCTGAGGTGGCATGTTTCAACAGGTGAAGTCAGAGAGTATATCAGTATATCTCCCCTGGTTTGGGGGGCTATGACCGCTTTGGTCATCTAAGATTCAATCATTTGAACTTGTGATTGTTTAGCCCACAGGGTGCATTTGTTTGAGGACAGTTCTTCAGGAGGGATCTCTCCTATTGACTAAATAAGCTCTTTGTAGTCCTGGGCGCCCTTGAGTGGGCCTTCTCCAAGCCTATGAACAGTGGCTGAAACTCAGCCGCCCACTTCTCGCTTGCAGCGGCTCCTGCCTTGCATTTTGTATTTTCTGGACACCCCTTAGTGTTATTAATATCCCAAGCTTTGTTGGCTTTTAACTTTGCACCCATCAGATTGCAATTCTTCTTCCCCTGATTTTGGGAAACGTAGAGCCAGTATTCCAGAAATTCTTGGTGTCCATTCTGCCCAATCCCCCCGCCTAAAAATAGCCCAGTGTCTATGAACCACCCCAAAGCTGGGGGTCCTGCAGATGCACACTTTGCTTGCTTGAGATGCATTTCTCGGGGGACAGCATAGCTGTGCACCGAACTCGCTTATAGCGGGGCCGAACTCACATCACATCGTTCCAAAGTGCAAGGTTTGGGATCGCTGGCCGAGCTGCTCTGATCAATTCGCTGCAGAAATCTGGAGGGCCCATGGACCTCACTAAATGTTCGGTCTTCCATGCGGCCCGAGAGTCTGGCCGTCCCGGCAGTAGCGCTGCAGAGGAGTCAAAAAGGACATGCATATGCATTTGCGCTGCGGGAGAGGGCAGGGAGAGGCGATTCTTCCGGGTTTTCCTGGAGCTCCACCCAAAGGTTCGATGTCCATTGCAAGCCGAACGGATTCCGGAAGATTTTGGAGCATGCAGAAATTCGGGTTTCAGACACTTTCCAGGACCCCGAGGGACCTCCGGGGGTGTTGAATGGAGACACGATCTGGCCGCTTTTCAAGGCTATATTGATAGACCCCCCCAAAAAGGGGGGGGGTCCTGAGTCCCGGTTGAGGTTCCATGCTTTTTAGGATTTTTTTGGTGGGACCTCCGGTGACCTACCCGGGACCTGGACTTCGTTCGCCGTCGCCATCAAGCCACCCTTTTTGAATCAAGCCAGCAGGCACAAGCCAGACGGCCCATGGAATGCTTTTCGCCGCTTGCTCATCAATCCTTCACCTGGGGCTCAGGGTGTTTCACTACATAATGTTGTGGGGGGAGGGGTTTGAGTCAAAGCCTCCGATATTTGCAGTGCTGGAGGCCATTCATTCATTGCTTGAGCTGGGAAACCTCAGGACTGCTTAAGTTTGCCTTGCACGGTTCTCCCCAAACTTCCGAACTGCCACACCACTTCAGCCTCCGTCCCCCCCCCAAACGCCGAAGCCGTCCCCTTTTGCGCCTCCTCGTTCCGGTGAACCGCACGGCCACCGGACGGAGCTCCACTGTCGCTCCGCCATGGGCAGCTTCGAGCCGGGGGACCACATCCAGCGGCGGCGCTTCGGAGCCTCGGCGGGAGGAGGACGGGAGGGGCTCGAGCCGAGGAGCCGTGGGTCCAACTGGTTGGGAGATGTTGGGCGCTTCTGACATTTCGGTCCAGAAAGACAGGAGCAGAGAGAAAGAAGATGAATCGAAGTCACCTTCAGTCTGACACAGTCTTGTGTGGGGAATCCTGCTGTGGCCTTCCTTTGGGCTTGGCTTGGGCAGGCCCAAGCGGGAAATTCACGCAGGTCGCACACTCTTCCTTTCCTTGCCCCGCCAACCAACCGTGCGATCTCGTCCTCCCGGCCCAAAACCGTCTCCACCGGAGCGACCGGAGCGACCGAGGCTACGACCACCACGCGATCTTCGTGGCGTGGGACGTGGAGCCCGAGGCCTACCTCATCCACCACCCCATTGGGCGCCGTGCCAACCCGTTCCCTGGGAGTGTGGGGAGTGTGGAAGGGGGTGGTGATGGTGGTGGAAGAGGATGAAACAAAAATCCACAGCCAAGCTGGGAGTCTGGGAGGATTTGGGAGGATTTCAGAGTTCCATGCAGAACCTTTGGGAACACCAGCAGCTCCAAGCCTGCCCACATAGCAAGTCGGGGTCTAATGTCTTCGAAAGTGTCTTCGAATATATGCGAGAGAAGCGCAAGCGGCAGACTGGTAGCAGACCTCCGAAAGAGAACAGAGCCACATCCAAATTTGCGAGGTGGGGTTTCAGAGCGCCCTCGAGCATGGATGGAGAAGAATGCAGATGCAAGCCGAAGTAGATAGAAATAGATAGAATATATGTGGTATGGGTCGGTATGGGGGGGGGCATGTCCCCAAATGTACTGTATTTCGAAGACTTTCTTGTCTCCGCCTTCTCCTTAACGTTCAGGCCTTCCGCACACGACCAAACGACCGTGAAATAACGGGAAAAACAGTTTTTTTCTCCTCTTCAGACCTGTGAGGTTGAAGGATATATGATATATCCAAGGAAAAGTTTGAGAAGAAAGATCACGAAGGGCCTCTCCCTCTCTCTGTGACTGGGATGGTCCGACCCAAGAGGAGGCGCGGGGGGGGGTGCCGCCTCCGCCTCCAAACCTGCCGCGTGGGTCGCGTGGCGCACCCCGTCCCACCCGACCCCTCCGCTGAGGCTCCGAGGGAAGATCCGCCACGAGGTGCGGAACGTCTTCGAGTACACCTTGGTGCGACGACCGGCGGATCCCGCCGCTTCGGCCGGGGGGTTTGGAGGGGTTGAGGGGGGGCGGTCGGCTGAGGGAGAGAGGTGGGGAGAAGGGGGGCGAGAGCACCCTGTAAAGGTGGGAGGGAGGAGATCTTACATCAGCGTACTCGTGCAGCTTGGTGGGTCCCAAAGGATGCAAGAGATGGCTGGGTTGGGCAATTCAGGGTCACACCAAACTTCGGGTCTCCGTCGTTTTCTTTTCGGAGGACCAGCGAGTGGCCGTTCAATGAACCGCTTCCGGAAGCGGGCCACTGGCGGAAGCGGTCTTCATCTGTGTGGTTCACGTGTTGTGCGGTTTGTGTGAGTTTGGCAGCGTGCAAACGTCATACACAACTTAGCATACATCGTAGCATCGGACAAACATGCCGGCGACGTGTGAACGTGCTTTGACAGCATGCAACTCTTGATGCCATTTTGGGCTCAGGGCCTTTGCAACCAAGGAGTTTGACTCAACTGAGTTAGCGCGATGCCACGTCGCGAAGAAAAATACTGTTATGGTCAAGGCTGGGCGCATTTCCGGCAACCCAACTACCTGAGCAGTCGAAGCCGAAAACGCCGGACAGCACGTGGGCTCTTCAGCACTACACGGGCATATTTGCTATGCGGAAGTCAACCATGCCCTTCGCTCTGACGACAGTAAGCTTTTGAAAAAACACGCCGATTTGATCAATTCCCTCCGCCACCATGATGCACAATCACCGTGAATATGGCACGGTCTATCGTGGAATGAAGCTTGCACAGTCAGAGCATGCGTTCTACACAAAAGGTAAGAAGTTCCTGTGGCCTGGCTTCACGTCGGCCAGTCTTGATCTGAAGACAGCCTTTGCATTCGGGAGTTGGGGAGGCCAGAATGGCGATGAAGTTATTTTCGAGATTCAGCTTGGGAAAGGAGAAGGGACAACATACTCTCGTGAGATCTCGCATCTGTCATGCTACCCGAGCGAGAGGGAAGTTTTGATCTACTGCTACTCAGGCTTTGAGGTGGTTGATCGGGGCACGCTGAACGGCCATACTTGGATCACACTCCGACCCTTCGACACTTTGTGGGTGGAAAGGGGGATGCCTGGTGGGTTCATCATGATGTTTGTGATCTTCCTCTTCGAAGGCGTGTTTTCTATGACGATGCTCTGGGTCGGGTTATTTGGATTCAGATCCCTCTGGCCTTTGATCACATCTCTGATGGCCTAAATGGCCTCTATCGGGAAGGCAACTATCAAGAAGCTGAAAAAGAGTGTTGGCCGTCATGGCCTTGTGGTGAGTCTAGTTGAAGACCGAGGATGCCTGCTAGCAGCACCTAACTACACACTGAAACCTTTATCTACCTCTCAGAAGCTGTTGGCCAAACCACCTTCTAGATTCTAAACCGACCACTGGCGATTCAAGCCCGGAGTTCTGAGCGAAATCCCCGCCGGTTGCGCAGTTGTGGCCGGGCGCATCGAGATGCACACTAAGGAGGCCGTGCTGCAACGGGCACTGTCCCGGGTGGGTGAGGATGGCTACAACTTGGTCTGGAACAACTGCGAGCACTTCGCCGCACCTGGGCGCCAACGACAAACGCGGCGGAGAGCCGGGTTGCTGCGGAGCCGGTGAACGAGGGATGTAGCTACCCCATTGGCCCTGAAGTGAGCCTCCCATTGGCTGTTGGCGAGGGATGTAGTACAGAGAGCTTCTTCTCTGTTGGCCCTGTGGGATCTGGTGGCCCTGTGAAATCTGGTGGGTTTCAAGAGGGGAATGACAGACAGACCCCGAGTTGCATGCTTGTGATTCAAGTTCTCCATTGGTGCCGGGGGCGTGCAAACATGAGTCGTATACCGTATATTGTATGCTTTTGAGTCGTGAGGGACCAGGGATTTCGACTAATCCGGTGTGATTCTAGCTTCTGCCAGAGCTTTCCTCATGGTTCTAGTCACCCTTGGAGATGCAGAGACTCTTGGCTGTGATTCTAGACAGGCAGAGAATCCCACACCAAAGTTCACCACCCTATGATTCGGGGTTCTTCACCCAGGTGGCCGTTTACGGATTTCCTGCTAGCCACTTGAAGCCAAGGAGTGGTGCGTCACCGGGCGACACCGGTGGCTTGGGTCTTCATTTGGTGGGTGGGATGTGAGAATGAGGGAGTGGCATGTGGAGTGAGGTCTGAAAATGAGGGGTCAGACATGTATTTTTGTTGGGGATGTGTCACGTTCCTTTCCGGTTCTTCATGCCATTTAGTTGGGTACAAATCCTGGCTTCTCATGCCCTAGGGATCCGTTTTCGTACCGAACCTCATGCTCAGTACGGCTGGACCCTCCTGGCACCTGCATAACAGTGTCCAGCACATCACCTGAGAAAGCACGACTGGATCGGACGCTGAACATCGCACCTCCATTCCTTGCGAGGCTTCGCCCAACCCTCGCGCGTACCTCGTGCAGGTCGCACCAGGTGCTGGGCGCTCTGCTGGGCCCGGTGCCGGGCGCCGTGGTGGGGGGCGCCATCGGCCTGACGCTGGTGCCGGCGGACGCTCGGTGGAGTGACGGCGCAAGCGCGCGCGGAGGATGGTGGTGGAGGTCGGTTTCACTTCAGAAGTCGTTGCCATGGCCATCCAACAGAGGTTCAGTGACCTGAGCTGGAACCCTACAAAGGTACCCAACTAGGATAGTCAGTCTATAGGGTTCTTCAACCTCTGCTGGATGGCTTGATCACCTTCTCTTGTGATTTCTTTTCCTCTTCGGGGGTGACATTCATGGAGTCGATGGGCTGTGAGATGAAAATTGGGCTTCCCAGATCTGTGGGGCCAAATGTATCAGATTTGATCATATTCGATCTACTCCTTGGGAGCGACTTAGCATTAGGATGTTGGCTTCCAACATCGATCACAAGACTTGTAGCCCAACATCGGTGGAAGTATATAGAGGGTTGCTAATTTTCGTTATTTTTCTGCAAGAGCCTGGGTCCAGAGAGCATTTTAGGGATGAGCCCAATCAGTTGGCTTGATAGCTGGATTCCCAGCTTGTCGTGGACACGTGAGCTGCCATGCAGGTTACGGTTCAAGATGTTGGTTGTCTTGTTGGCAAAGAGTTCCCAGCAAGCCTTGCTTCAGAAGTTTCCCACCTACTTCTTCAGCTTTTTGTACACAATTTGATGTATATCCCTTTCCCCGAAGGAAGAATGAAATGGTTTGAGGGACGTGGAGAGAACGCACAGCTTTTGTTTTTGGGGTGACAGTGTCCATGTTTGACATTGAGCCTGGTGGAGCACCATCGAGCCTATGTGGAAGGAGCACCTCGCTCCAAGTCAACAAAAATCAAGTCCCCTCGATGAACTCACTGAGTTGGCAGGGTCCAGGGCAGCAATCTCAACCAGCTTGGCAGCTTGCTAATGTAGTCTCTTGATTCCATTCACTCCAGTTGGAGTGAGAGACCTCTCCAGGCTTATCCTGGGGGTGGTGAATCAATGAGTCCTACCATCTACGCCACACGGATCTCACGCCCATCCGGGATCGACCCATCCGGTCCCTGGCCGACCGGATCGGCCGGACCACACACCGCTCAGGTGACCGTGTGGGGTTCGCCGACGCTGGGGAAGGCCCGGGAGGAGTCGCCGGGAGGAAAGCCGGGAAAGCCGGGAGAGGAAATCCGGTGGCACCAAAGCCAGGAGGCCACCTGGGTTCGGTGCGGACCACCCCCCAGGTCTTTTTCTGGCTTGGATTTGTATGGGGATTGGGTGGTTGATGTGGTGCCATGTCATGGAGCAATGCCTATAGAACCTGATGTTGGAGCAGAGCTGCCAAAAGCACAGCAGAATTCTTCAAGCGGACCGGCTTGCATGAGTCACTCCTTGCAGTGACACTGACACTCCAGAATGCGCTGAAGAACGTGGTTTTCGCTCTTCCGTTCGATCGTTGGTTCCAACACCGAGAAAGCCAGCCGCATCACGCCTGCCCGGACCGCGACCTGCGCAGTGGGCAGTGGCGCTGGGGCTCATGTCCGCGCCGGTGAAGTGGCACTTCGTCGCCGCCCGGTGAATTGTGGTGAGAGGACGAGGGGGGGTGGGTCAAGGACTGGAAGAGATAATATACACATGCCTGGACCCTCCAAGGGGTGTCCGATGGACTACCCCACACTACCTATAGGCTTCCATTGGGCACCCCTTGGAGGGCCCTAGTATATAATATATCATACATGTTAAACAGTTCTTCAAGTCTTGTCCAAAGAATGCTCTTTGGAGGCAAAAGTCCGGAGCTGTGTGGTTTTTGTGTGATCACCTCCAAGCCAGGTCTTTGTCCAGATATCAGTCTGGGAACATGATGAAGATCCTGAGAGAAGGACGGCGAAGGAGGTCATTTCTGCCCTCGACTCCGCAGCTTTTTGAAGTCAGTGCACCTTGCTTAGATGATGATGCATTCCAGATAAAATCGGACAGGTAATGACAAGATGAAGGTGGGCCGCTCAAAAGGTCCAGGAGCAGCTTCATGAACATGCATGATATAACGGGGGGGGTCCTGCATTTTAGACACCGACCCATTCAGTCGAACTCAAGCTTTGTCTACTCGGCGGGTGGGCAGGACTGGAGTTTGTTGACGGCGCACAGCTTTGTTCAGTGCCATGCCGTCACTGGTTCGCCGCGGGTATTGGCGAAGAGTCCTGGAAGCCAACGACGGAGAGCCAGAGAAACTCAAGGAGTTCAAACATTGCACCTGTCACATGTTTGAGCCTTCTTGCGCTACACTCATGGGGTTTGCAAGGTGGTTTTGACGGCAAGCAAGATCAGGGGTAAATGGCTCAGTTCTGGTGTTAGTGAAGTGTTGCCTCAGCCGCTCGAGCAGCCGATGAAGCCATACAGCTTGCCGGAGAGGCCAGCACCCAAGTCCCAAAAACACACACCACTCTGCTCCTGGAAGAGCACCACATTCCACGTCGGGCCGACCGGCGGACCGGGATGAAATCGCCAGGAGATCGTGTTGAAGGACGCGGAGGTGGCGATTTCCCGGCGCCGCGGAGGACGCGGAGTTGGTCGCACTCGATTCGGCTCCAAATCCCAGGGACAGTCCTTTTGGAACGGTCCAGCCCCGGACGAAGAGCCGGACCGGACCAGCACTTTGGAAAGACTGAGCCGTCGGGCTGTCACAAGCATTCTCTCGTGAGCTGGAGAGAAGAAGAGGTGGCAGTTCGCATCCGCCTTCGGCCGTCTTGACCCTTCCATTTCGATGGGTGACCAACTGCTGGAGTGACCACACGCTCAGGTTCAGCACCAACGGGCCGTGTCCCACGTCTACCCTCCGACGAAGACATCACATGGAAGAAGACTCTTTTCCGAAGAGCAGCAGGGTGGTTTCATCTCTAAGATCTCCCTCAAAAATCCATTTGGTTGAACGTTCGACATGTCTCACCAACAAGAGTTCCAAGGATAATGGGGTGATTGAGTGGTTCCAAGAAGTAGATTGCACCAAAACTGACAGGACCTTCCAAGAGGTGGTTCTCCAGCACAGCTGGTGTGTTGACCTTGGAAGCACCTGTTGGAGTAGACCATCTTGACACTTGGATGTTCCATGCCGCCTCCGAACCCCACCCCAAAACCTCAACCGCCTTGCTTCGACCAAGTCGTTGGCCACGTGACCCTGAAGACACCCACAGATCCATGCCACAACATCCCCGTGTCGTCCTTCGCCGCCGCTTCTCGCTGTAACCGGGTAGGTGGTTGGCATCCTGGGCGCCTTGGTGCTCACCATCACCGTGGCGGGGCTCACCATCGTGGATGGCCATCTCAGCGAGCCCTCCGGGCCGCGGATCCTCTACGCGCCGCGGAAAGCCGGTTGACGGACGGACCTCGGCGGTGTCCCCGGGGTTCGGCCAGGGCGAGGGCGAGGGCGAGCGATGCTTTGCGGGGGGGTTCGCTCGCCTTTTTGCTTCGCTTGTCTGGGACCAGCGGCCGTTGGCACGGGCTTCATTTCTGCCTGTTGGCTTCAGGAGCTTTCGTAGGAATGAGTTGCTGTTTACAGCGGGAGAGTCCAATCACTACTCCAGAGGATTGCGATTGCACCCGAGCTGAGGTGCTCCTGAGCTTTCTGAGTTTCGTGTTCTCCTTGAACGCCTTGATGACGGCGTCCAGAGCTCCTGGGGCTTGAGTTGGGGTGGGGCACGTCAATAGCAGGAACCCTGAGACATCCTGAACTATCTTATAGAATCTTATAGACTTAGTTTAACTTTTATTCACATCCCCTTTTTTGTCTTTAAAGCATTGCGAAGCAGACTGACGTCGTTGATTGGGGCGTGTATAACCGGCTCAGAACCATCGTGCCTGACTGCTGGGGTTCCGTCGTCGCAGTAGCACCGTTGGAGGCATGGCAAAGGCAGCAGTTCTTACTTAACCTTTTTGGGGATCCCATTCCAGCACCCGACTCTACAGGTCTCCCACAAAGAGTCGAACTGGCCTAAGGGGAGGTTGAAACCATCGGTGACCTGGCAGTGAGGGTGCTGGTAGAAGCGAACACTCATGCTGTTTGTGTGCGCCGAGCACCCACGAAACGCGAAAGAGACGGAGCGAAACAGGAGCTACACTACACGAGGGTTTAGCACCACGGCAGCGCCGTGGCTGCGTCGCTAAGCCCCTTGAGGTGCTGCTGTCCATCAACAAGCTGCATCCCAGGGACGTTTTGCAATGCCTGGAATCCCTCGATGAGTGGGATACTGCCGACGGCTTCTGGTGGTTCAACCGGAGCTTGGTCTTCTTGCTGCTGGCGGTCTGGGTGTGTCTCGGATGACCAGGAGTTGAATTTAGACAGTTTTTGCGAGTGCATGTGACATGTCTGCCTTGAAAAGTGCTGCTTTTGCGACTAGGGACCTCGGAATGTTGCAAAGATGTGCAAACATGTGCAAGCACGCGCAGACTTTTTCCATTGCCATAGGCCGGCCAACGTTTGAAGTCAAGATAGCTTTGCGTTTTGCTGGTTTGGGATGCCATTGTGGAAGTGAAAAGGTGTGCTTCTGGATGTTTGCTGACATTCTTCAACAATGCTGCAACCACTGTCGATGGCCAAATCTAGTCCACACCAAGATAAGATACTGCCTATCCCTGGATCTTCCAAGTCTGATTGCGGACTGTCCATCTTTTGAATACGTTTTACCCAACCTCGGACGGTTGTGATCCAGCCCCACTTGCGTTCGACCTGCTGTGTTTGAGGCTCGTGGACCTGCTGTACGACCACACCTGCTTCCTGCTGTGTGGCGTGCTGGCGCTCGTTCCGCTGGGCATGATGTGGCACCTGCACCGCGCGCACGTGGCCGTGGTGTGGCCGATGATCCGCCTGGCCGCGGAGGGCAGCGCCAGTGCCAGCGCCAGTGGCAGCGCGTCCTTGGAAGCGACTCCGTCGTCCTCGGAGCGGCTGGTGGAGCAAGGCCTGAAGCTGCAGGTGTAGATGAAGCGGCCTGAAGGTCCTGATGTGGTTGTGGAGCTGATGAGGTCGGAGGTCCTGCAGTGAGTGGCAAGGCCCTTCTCGGAGCCCAGCTGAGGCCATGTGAGTCGTCTGAGCTGCACGAACTCAGCCCCAAGTGGGAGGCCCTGGGCCAGACTTTACCGAGGCCACTACCACCATGAAGGCCTGAAAGGGCCCTGAAAGGGCCCTGAAAGGCCGGGCGTGCTCCAGTTCATGCTCGCAGGATGCGGTTGGTCGAAGCTGGACAGACCGTCCCGGTTGGAGCGACTTCGCGGCGACAGACCGTGCGCAGGGCGCAGGCGCATCGATCGGTCCGGTCATGCAGCTCATGAGAAGCTGCTTCCGGCTTTCGCAGCTGGAGACCCTTTCCCACGGTGAGAGGGTGGCGCCACAGAGAGGTGGGTCTCCCGGGTCCTCCCCCCCTACTATATAACTAATTATAGTAGGGAATGAGGGAATGAAGCCCCCCTGGCCCCTGGTAGATACCTTAGGATGTACAAAACACACATCATTCCTCACGAGTTGCACCTGTCAGTCAACGTGGCCCGGGTTCGCCGGCGAACTCGCGTTGTGGGCCCGGTCGTCTGCGGTTCAAACCCCCCAGCTTGGGGGCTTTCTGCCAAGCTAGCCAGCTCTCACTAGGTGCACCCTGTTCAATAAATGGTTGACCTGGTATTGTAGTCCCAGAATCATCCTTAGTGAAACAAGGGTTGTTCAGAATTCGCACCCTTACATACAACCATTGACTTCATGATCTTAATGGCCTTTATAAAACCAATTCTTCGATCAACAGTTTCTAAGACCAATCCAGGTCAAGCTCTTTTTTCTTCGCACCGGGGGGTTTCTCACTTCGGAGAAAAAGCCGCGGAACCCATTGCCACTGAAGCCACTGTTGGGGGTCTGCGGTATCGAGGTCTCCGGCATCGCGGTGGCCGTCCGGGGCCCAGTCCTGTGGGGCGTCTCCCGGTGTCTCCGGCGGAGGGTCTTACACCAGCACCCGGAGCAAACCGGTTCTTCGGACGGCGAGGTCCGGGTGGCCTCTTCCCTCTTCGTCTACGTCGCGGTCCGGGGGATCAGAAGGAAGTGGGTCGCGAGTCACGTGAGGTTTCGGAGAGGTGTAGGTTTCGTAGGTCGCCCGGAGGTTCTGGGCACCGTGTCCAAGAGGTAGAGTTTATACGGTTTCAATCGGTTTCATATATATGTTTACAATCCAAAAGTACCGTATTAGATTACATAAATTCATAAATTCGATTTCAATCCCTTTCTACCTTCGAAGTTTGTGCCCTCCACTCTGTTTCACACCACTCTTGGTCGCCACCACTTGGTCCCTGCCAACTCCGGACTTGACCACCTCCTTGGGCCCTGTGCGCGGAACCGCCGTGCCCGCGTGGCACGAGGCTCCCATTGGACTGGTCCTGGGGCTCATGAGCTCGCGCCTGCTCGCCCGCCTGCGGGCGAACCTGCGCACGGCCCCAGACCCCGCGGCCGCGGCGTAGGGCCGCCCGGGCCGCCCGCGGCGACGCGGAACCGGGGGGGGGGGGGGTTGCGGCGTGAGAGTGTCGGAAGCGGGGGGAGTGGGGCATGGAAGGGTCGGACGGGTTTGGGGCGTTACGGTGATCATGTAGAATGTTTTTGGGGAAGTGCGGACAGCACCAGGCAGAAGAGCCATAGGTCGAATGAAGAGAGGCCCTTTGGATCCAGCCTTCTCCGACTGATCCTGGTCCAGTCCTCATGCCTTTCTCGCGGGAAGGGCGCTGGCGCGGCCCGGCGGCTTGTACAGAATTGGGTGGTTCGACCCACGGGACGGGGGTTTACCAGTTGGGGTGGTGCTTGGATCGCTACAAGGTGGGCACCGTTGTTTCGACCGTTGAGCATCGGCTCGGACCCGAAAACAGGTTGGAGACGACATGGGAACCCTCAAGAAGGGGGACTTCTTCGAATTGATATAGTCCAGACCACCAGCAACTTCCGAAGACCACCCTGGCTTGTGACCGCCGAAGTGTTTGGATGCGGCTTCGGGGGGGTGTTCGCTTTTCAACTGAGAACGCCTCAGCCACCTCCGCCGAAGCGCCAAAGCCGTGCCCAGCGAAAACTTGGTGCGACCATGCGACCGTGGTCGGATTGCGAGGGGGTGTCGTAGCCGGAGCGGGCATGGTCGGAGAACGGCCCGAAAGAACTATAGTTAAATTAGTTCCCTACAGGTCCAAAGCCCCAGTAAAACCCAATGTTTTTTCCTCCTTGGGTCCTTGAGTAGTGGTATAGTATACTCATAAACATGAGGCCCTTGGACCTGTAGGGGTTTATGGATGAGGACGTGTGAGGAATCTTCGACTAAAGCGGCTGACCACCCGCTGGCAACCACCGACCGACTCCTGGATGAGGTACGGACGGACCCAGCTTCCGGACACAGCAGGTGCAATCCCCACTAGCAGCGGTCCGCTTTTTGTGCGTTCCTTACGATGTGTGCGCAGCCACCGTGCTGCTGGGTTTTCCTTGATTCCGGGCAGCGGAAGTGAAAACCATCTCATCACCTCATCACCCCGGCCTTCCTGGGTGCGACTTGACCATGCAGCCACTCTAGCCGCCTCTCTGTGGCTACCTTCAAAGGAGGCCAGCCGTTTTCGGGGCGATGCAGCACCAATAGCCACCCCTTCCGTGGTGCTGGAATGTAAAATGGGATTCTTATGGATTCTTCATTCTCATTGATCATCTATGCTCCCATCACCCCTGGACCCACCACGTGCCGTGCCGTGCCGTGCCTCCGCAGCCGCGTGCTCCGAACGGAACCCCCGAACCGACCGGTCGGTCGGCGGGCGAGTGACCGGCTCGGGCTCTGCGGGACAACGAAGCGGCCCAATGCCAGTGCATCGATGGGTGCCGTGGGCCGTGGGGAGGTTGGCGGGCGGAAGAACGGACGGTTTGCCAACAACCAGCCCCTCGGTACACCTTTTCCCAGAGAAATCAGCATCCTAGAGGCTACGAAGGGGAGGGGTTGGCCAGCCATGCCCGGACCTTTTTTTGCTTTTCAGTGCGAGCGTTGTGGTCGTAGGTGGTCGGGCCGGGCAAAACCATGCGCGAGGACTTCGAAAGGCCTTCGCTGACTTGTAGCTGGTGCAGGCCGCCGGTTCCTAGAAGTGCAGCTCCAGTTCGACGGATCGATTTGGCACCACCGGGAAGTCACGACAGTTTCTTCCAAGGTGACCTAGTCAGACCATTCTTTTGGATGGTCATTGACTTTCAGGGGCTGAAGGCCAGGCTGAGAACTTCTTTGGACGAGCCCCGGAACTGCCAGATCGACCTCCCAGCAATTCTTGCCGCTGTCCCTTTCTGGTGGCTCTTAAGCCAGCTGAACTCCTCACCTTCTGCCCGACGAGGTGCTCTGGTTGGTGCTGGCCTGTGGTGAGGCTGCTCTGGTGAAGAGGCTGGATGGGGTGGATCTATGGGAAGCTGCTTAAAATGAATCCCTTCACGGATGGTGTTGACACCTAGGATGGGTGCTGGCACCTAGGAATGCACAGGATGTGACTCTTGAGAACCTCGGATGGGCATCATCAAATCTTGGGCGTGTCAGGACTACAGAAAGCCAGCAAGCGAGCCTCCGTTTCGAGACGGTGTCTGAACGTTGGTTCATCCTGCTTGGGCTTAGCCAGAGGGGGGCTGCTCGTTCCAAGCTGAAAGCGATCATGATCTCAACCAAGCAGCTTTTCATTTTTGGTTGCTGTACAGCCTTTACAACGTCAAATCCATTTCAGCTTTCGATCAATCCATTCAAACTGCAGTAGCCTGTAGCATTTTCTGGGCGATATGGAGTTCATCTCCGAGTTCAGATTAGGGGTTCAACTGTGCTTCTAGTGTTTGTATCTATGCCTAGTCTTGGTCTTTCAACTGCTAAACATCCAAAGCTTCAGCGCCTCTTCCACGATCTTCCACGGCGACCGCGGTCGCCGGGTCGCGCCGTCTCGGATCGCGGTCGATCGTCTGAAGACTCCAGTCTACCCAGCATTCTCTAAAAACCGGCGCAGGTCAGCTGGCGAAAGAGGTGTGAACATGTGCCAAGTCCTTACCTTGGCCCCCTTGACTTCGACCATTTTTCGACCACCAGATGGTGCAGTTGGGGAGCCATATGCCAGTCCAATGGACTTTCCCTGGGGCACTTGGGGCATCCTTCCCGGCATGTTTCACGTGGTGCGGGGCGAGGCTCCACAATGGGACGAACCACTCTGAGAAGTCCGTGCAGCAGATCGTTCGGGTGCGGGGAAGCCGGCTTGGGGTTCGATGTGCCGGCGCGGAGAGGTGCCGAAGTGGTGGATGGTGGTGGATGGGTGGTGGTATGATCTGTATGGCCCCTGCCTAGTGCTCCATGGACTTGGGGTGTGGAATCAGGCCGCCGACTTAGGCCTTTGCAGTCAAGGCTGCCCGTGGGCTTGAGCCCAAAAGCTTGTTCTCAATATTCTCCGAAGATCCTACATGTTGGGGGTTGTGCGGAGTTTTTTCCCGTGAGATAGCACAAAGTCCTCTTCTTGGGGTGCTTCACTCCACATGTCTTCTCTCCCTCACCAGGTGCCGGCTCGCGACGCGCCTTCGCGACCGCAAGGATGCGGAGCTGGCGAACCTGCGAATCCTGGAGGCCAAGTGGCAGAAGCTCAACGAGTCCCTGCACTACGCGCCGCTTGGTCGGAGCGTTCGGTCGGGAGCGTTCGGGCGGTCGTGGCACATGCCGCTTTGGACCGAGGCCGGTGGTGGATTGGGAGAAACGAATAGAAACGATCATCTATAGTCTGGATGATAGTAACTCCCTACTTGAAGAGGTTTTGCATTCCATGTCGTATATTTTTGTGACCCAGGAGATCTCAAGCGTCTATATTTTAGCCCTTGACAAGAGGGCCGCAGTCTGATGTACATCAATCCCGACAACGCGTACTTGGGGGGCGAAGTATGCTGCAGCCTCATGGCCAGAGGGATGTTAAGAGCGTCATGGCCAGGTGGGGGGTATTGTTGGCCGAGCACGATCGAACATATTCTCTGGTGGGTGAACAAGCTTGTTCAGAATAGAAACAGAGAATATAGAGAATCGGAGGCCATCGCTACTAGGTTGGAAGCCATCGCTCAAAGAAAGAAAGAAAGAACGAACGAACGAAAGAAAGAACGAACGAAAGAAAGAAAGAAAGAACGAACGAACGAACGAAAGAAAGAGAGCAAGGATGCTACTAGTAGCTCCCGGCCTTACTACTATACTGCGAATTCGGCGCATTTTCGGGCATCGCGACTGGAACGGTTCGCGATCGGTTTGCTCTCGTCTCTGCAGTGGCCTCAGGGAGACGTACCTGGCAGACTCCCGGGAAGAGCTGGCGAATTTGACCGCGGAGCTGGTGAAGAGCAACCTCTCCCAGGTGCGCGAGCGGAGCGCCATGGGTCGGTCTCATCCTTTCGGTGGTTTGTGTGGAGAGGGTCCAGGGAAGTATGGAGGGATGGTGGGAAGTATGGCTTTGAGCCAGGATGTGTTCGCGCCCGTTTCGTGCGGCCGGTCTTGCGCCAACAGAACCTCCCCCTCGCTGCGCTGGTGTTCTTTTCGTTGGACTGGGCCGGTGCGCATCGGTCACGGTGTTGGCGGTGTCGGCGGAGGTCGGAAGGATGGGGGGGGCCAACTGTCGCTCAGAGGTGTTGGGCGCGAGCCGCTCGCGAGGACGATGAGAGTCCATCCTGTTGGACCCCCTGCAGGGGGTGCTAACTAGGAACAAGGACGCTACGAACGGAACAAAGGGCATCGCTACGAACGGAGCAAGGATGCTACTAGGTCTCTTCGGATGATTCTCCGGGGGGTCCCTTCCAGGAGAGCCCTGTCTCCCCCGACCCTGTCGGCAGGAAATCCAAGCGGCCAAGGAGAAGTACTCCGAAGTGTTGGTCAGCGAGGCCGGACGGCCGGACGACTGACCGGTTTTGGATGGAGAGACCAACCGAGTGAGGGTCTGGGAAGAATCCGAAGGAAGAGGGAAAATGCTACTTGTACCTACCTAGGTAGCCAGCACCTACCTACCTACCTACCTACCTACCTGGAAGTAAGTGAGGGTGTTGTAAGCCTGGCGTGACCGGCGTGAGATGCTACCAGGTCACCACCTGCACCCTCCGTTCGATCGGTGATTTCGTTGAATCAGTGCTCCATCACCTGGACCTGGACCTGCGGAGTCTGGGTCAGCTACCGATCTTGGGGTCCTGGATGGTCCTGGTACCGCCGGTGGTCGCGCCGGCGAACGGCGTTGGAGCCGTGGAGCGTTCCCCATGCGTCGCAGGCCACCGAGCAAGAGAACCGCGCGTGGCAAGAGACCCTGCGAGCGGAGGACGTCGAACGAAAGCACCCGGAGACACGGAACCGGAGGCGTTGTCGAGGGAAAGGAACATAGAGGCTATAGGGGTTTGAGGGAAAAGCGCCAGGGATGTGGTTGGTGAAAGAATCGAAAGAATCAGAATCCAACATGTTTCCTTCATAGACGACACATTTCGGGCCGCCTGGGCCCCTCCAAAGAAGCCTGGAATAAGTCGATGAACGTGGATCATCACGTGTGGGTGCCCTCCCATGCCCCGTCCGCGTGAACCAAGCCGTCCGCGCTCCGGTCCGCGCTCCGCGCGGTCTCTGTCCGACCGTCCGTCCGTCCGAGGAGGAGATGTTTGAGGCCCGGGAGCGCTATGCGAAGGCCCTCGAGGCGCTCCTCGGCTGTGCACCAGAGGCTCGGAGCATCGGCGGCGAGGGCCACGGACGGGGACCCTGAAAGGCTTGGATGGGGGCCGGGGTGGAAGACGAAGAGTTCGCGGAAGGTGTCCACTGCAGCAAAGGGGCCGTCCTTCATTCAATTGATGTGGCCAAGGTTAGTCTGCCAGTCTGTATTGGAAAGAGCGAACTGTTCCGCGTATTCTTAGTTCTAAGTTCTAGGTTTTCAATCAGCTTTTAGTGATGTGCAGTGGGTGGTTTTGACATGTTTTGACAATGTCTTAAACCTGCAGCAGGTTTGGTAGGATGGCATTCCCTTTGTTCCTTTTTTCTTCCACCCACCCTTTGGATCCAACACTGGTGAATTCGCTTGGCAGTCTCGCCCCTACGGGGGGCGCTCCGGGTCGGATCGGAGGCTGTTCACCCGCCAACAATCACCAACTCGTCCCACCAACTCGTTTGGGGCACCCGAGGCTACCAGACGAGGCGCGGAAGAGACTGGAGGCCCGGCGTGAAAGAGACGCCGTCTTCCCCGGTCAGACGTTCCTGGACTTGGGTTATCCCAAGACAGCTTTTTTGAAATAGTCTTGGACTCTATAGGGCTGAGTTGGGCCCCTTTTGATAGAGAGAGGCCTCCAGGTGTTGGAACGGCTAGCTAGTTTCCGGTTGCAAGTCTCTCACGCGTCTCCCTTGTTAACTCTCGTTTCACTGATCAGGAAGCGGGGTGGAAAGGTCAGTGCACCGAACTCACGGAACGTTCCCCAATCCTCGGTCCTCGGTCGTTCGGATTCCGAGAGTCGTTGTTCTTGCGAGGCTGCTAGCCCGAAGGAGCGCAGTGCCAGTTGGAGGTGCGGCCCACGTTCCCGCGGAGCTTCTAAGAAGAGAGCGGCTTCTTCCGGAAGAAGGTGGTTTTATATGAGCCATGGAGTGGGAACACTCCACTAAACAAGAACAGGTGGACAGAGGTTCACCCTAGAAGTCCAGTTCGACTATATTTAGACCGACTGAAGGATCCAGAAAATTCCTTGACTCGGGGTCACCCTTCGGACTGGACCATTCTTGTGATAGTCGACTGGACTCCCAGGGTTCACCCTTACTTTCCAGGACAACTGAGGGAGTCAGGAGCTGCCCAAGATCTTACTGCCAGTCGTGCGTGGCCAGTCTCGGAACCACATCCGAGAGGAGGGGAAGAAAGTCCCTTCGGGGCCAGCATTGGTTGGAGCTTAATCATCCGGGCTGGGGGGGTGGGGAGGTCCGATTCTTAGTCATTTTGGAGAGCCTTGGCGCTTTTGGAAAAGCTGGGGTTTGATTGAGTTTGTTGATTGTGTCTTGGCGAGGCAGATCCACAGCCAGAACAACTTTCACCTTGGCTTCTGCACCTCGAGCCATTTGACATCCTTCTTGATAGGAAAAGGTACTATTTTGGGCGGTTGGTGGTCCAAAATGCATAGACGTCGTCACTCAGGCTCTGGGCATGTTCTGCTGATTTCCTTTTCGCCCTGCACCCTCACCACCCCTCACCCCCCCTCACCACCTCAGTTGGCCTCAGTTGGCTCTCGAGGGTGAAACGAGCTCACCCAAACAGACGGCCATCAACAGTCCTGTGAGGGGCTTCCATGGGCTCTTCACGCTCTTCACGCTTAGCCTTGTCGCCCTCGCGTGATCCGACCAAAAGGTCGCTGCTTTCGCTGGTCGCGAAACACGGGGTCCGCTGGTCGCCGCGGTCGCCGGTGATTTTGGATGACTCTTAAGGGTCAAGGGGCTCCTTAGACGTCCGGTTTGGCACCGCTGAAGGGGAAGGAAGTTCTGGTCACCAAGAGGGGTCACTGAGTCAGACCTTTGGCCCAGAGACCCCGGACCTGGCGATCGGGATCCCTTCGGCATTTGGCATGAGTGGGGCACCTGTTTTCTATTCCACCGACGGTCGTCACGGTTTCAGGGGGTGAGCCTTCATGAACAACGTGTGCGCGCATGTGTGCGCGCGACGTGGACGTGGGGGGACGTCTTGGAGGTTGCGAACTTCAATCCGTAAAACCAGCCCAGATCGGCAGAGCACCAGCCCAGTTCGGCAGAGCCTTCGGCAGAGTTGGAAGGATTCCAGGTACGAGTCAAGCTCAGTCGGGTTCCGGCAGACCTTGAAGATAACCTGGTCTCCCTGTGAAGCTGAACTATCACCCCAAGCCAAACCTGCCCGGTTTTGACCCACTGCCACATGGCATACATCGTCATACACGGAGTGTCTGGGTCATGAGCTACCGGCTAAGAGGCTACACGCCGTGCCATCATGGCTACGTGGAGTGAACATCACATGTTTGGTCATCCAAAATCGGGGCTACGCCATGCAGGTTGGCCGATGGATGGTTCTGACGTGGAGTGTGAAGTTCCCAGACACGACCCATGGGACTGCCGTATATATGCCTACATTGACCCCCCTGGCACCACCCCAACTGATCGGCAGTCCCACGGAGTGTTGGGGGTTGGGATCAGCACTTCCGACGTGGAGCTCTAGGAATCGTCCACCGGGCGGGTTGGCATCCCCCCAAATTCCCCTAAGGCTCCAACCACCTCCTGAGAAGGTGGTTGGAGTGGGTTTGCAGGGTCCAAATACCTTCTGAGGATATGGTTGGAGCCCTAGGGTTCATGAAGTAAATCCTGGGTCCTGGATGCTGCGAAGCCACCGGAGGAGTCTTCCCGCATTCGCAGGAGTCTCTTTGCGAAGCCGTCCGTGCTTCTGCCCGGAACTTCTCCACATAGATTTGATACATGGCACATAGCGGGAGCCCCTCTCTTCCAGCAGTACGTTTGGCTTTGTAGTATTGGCAGAATGGAGCCCGTCAGGGTTTCAGGATTTAGGAGATTCCCTTCTCCCCATGGGGAATGAGTCGCATGATGGGCCTGGTGCCCCGGAACTGTGTTTTGTATTTTGTTCAGGGGTTTGCTGGGAGTGGGTGATGCAAACTGTGGTTCAACCCTAGACACGGCCTGGAATGCAATGTTGGTGGGTTTTGCGCAATGCAATTCTGGAGCTGTTCCCGGCTAAGGTAGACAGTTGATTAATACAACACCGCCAGAAATGGATTTTGGAACCTCTTCAAGTGGTGTTTTTTCGCTCGACAGTCTACAGTAATTAGTCGTTCTCAGTCATGACTCACCGTGAATCACCCGTGAACACTGCCTGCCGCGGTCTGCCTTTTCGGCCTCCAGACCAGAGCGGGTCAAAACTACAGACACGAACTTCTTGAGAGGCTCAAGAGCTCAGTTTGCACACTCGTTTTGAGCGTCTCATCCACTCAAGTGTGAAGTAGCTTCACGGATGTCCAAGCTTCGTTTTGATCCGGCTTGGCCCCGGCTCGCCCCTTGAACGATCGGAAGCGCCAGTGGCGTCTAAGCGATCGGGCACCCTGTATGTAATGTAGGCAGACCTGTTGCAGACCTCTCAATGTCTGTTCCACAGGCGCCCCGGGAGTGTACACCGTGTCCACGGGGCTTCGGGGGCTTCGGAAGAAAGGACCACGCGTTTCCCGCGGTCCGCCATTGGGAACGAGCGCGGTGAAGTGTCTGTCCTTTTCCCAGGCGATGTGTCGATCGGAGGGCGAGCGGGGAAGGGATGTAGGGGAAGCTCCGACGCGATGTTGCGGTCGGTGCTGATCTTGGGTGCCGTTTGGGCACGTGCGGCCAGTGGCCAGTGGTTCAGGGACATCTGGAAGGCACTTTTGCCAATTTTTCTAGCAGCAAAGATGCATTAACAGAAGTCGAGGTGGACACTCCCTCCCCCAAAAGACAGTTCCAAGACCTAGACTTCGACCGGTCGACCGGTCCACCGTTTTAAGGTTGTCTCGGTAGCCTCGGTTGAGAGTTGTCTCGATCCAAAGCTGGGATCTCGACGATCTCGTGGGAGAGGATTCAGCGAGGCAAAGAGAATGACCAGATGCTTCGGGTGAATGGAGGTTTGATGTGTCAATACGGGATGCAGTGCCGCACTGCAAAGAAGATTGGGGGGCCAAGTGCTAATTGCACCAAGGGGCGTCGCGGCACACCACTGAGACATTGTTGAAGGATATGATATGATTTATTTGTTCGTCTCCGGACTGCATGGTGTTGTTGATGGACTCTTCACGCGGCGTATTCTGAACGCCTCAAATGGGTGACTCTTCGTCGGAGCCCTGAGCCCTTCGTGGTTGATGGACCTGCTCGGTAGCCACCAAGTGGCACCCCTGAATGTGTGTCCTAATCGACACATCTGATTTTTTTCAAGGAACATTCTTCCTCGCCAGATCGGCGTGTCTTTCTAAGCTGCCTGCAAGCCAGAACAGCCACACGGGTGTGTAACGTAGACTCTTGCTTATATTTCACCCCTCACATGAAGAGGATTTCTAATTCAAATGGGAGGGTTTATGTATTCTATCTTGACTTCTCTGGAGCCTGTTGAGCCTGTTGATGCTGATCGTCGGTTTTCTTGCACTCCATCACCATCAGCTTTAATGATAGATTTCCTGTGTGGATGAAAACCATGCGTGTATATTGCCGGAGGACGACACGTGGACAAACACCATGTTGGCAAGGACATTGAAGTTCTCAGGATTCAATGGCTTTCTATAACCCTATGATTGCATGAAGTTGTGAAGGGACACCTGCGAGCCTTTTTACTTTTTGGGGGGTCAGGAAAACGATTAATTACATTGTGTTTGGGTGTGCGAACGGAAGCCAAGACTCGCGCCAGACGACTTTTCGCGCGCCATGAACCGAGCTGCTCAAGAATGATGAGGGGGAAAGAGATGACCATGATGAACATCAACAAACGCATGCCAGGACCCACGGAAGTCAGGGCTATTTCATAGACACCAAACAGGGGGTCCTGGTGATGGAAGTGTACCAGACAGATTGAGTGGTGCACTCATTACTTCGTGGGCCTTATCAACCAAACACCAAAAGGACTTGCGCCTCGGAGTTTGACCTTCCACATCGGCAGACGGCCAGACACAGCGCTGGGCGGATGCATGCGGATGCTCGCCGCGAAGCAGCAGCACTTCAGCCCTCAGCCTACAGTAATATAGGCGGTTTTGGACCAGGATCCCCTGAATTCACATCAGGGGCCTGCTGAACTGACTCCGGGGGGAACACTCATGCCCGCCCTAGCCTGGTGGGGCACCGGCGAAAAGCCTGTGATCTCATTGCAGTAGATCAAGACAGGTGCAAGACACAGGCCTCACAGAACGACCAAGTCAAGTCTTTAGTTGCATTTGTGCGACTATCCCAGGGTCAACAATCAGACTCCAGCACCAACCCACCCATCAGAACCAACCTCTCCATGCAAACCCTTTGCCACACGGAAGCTGTGACCCCATGGCATGCTGCTCCTTATCGAGCGGTGACCCGGTGACGGTGTGACTCGATGAACTTCTTGGTGGCGGCGGCGAATGGCACCCACGTCTACCGCGCTACACGGATGCAGACGTGTTTTTCTACTATTTTTTAACACCCTAGGGCTCCAACCATATCCTTGGAAGGTATTTGGACCCTCCAAACCCACTCCAACCACCTTCTCAGGAGGTGGGCCAGGAGCCCTATAGGGAAAACAACTCGAGTGGATGATAGGGTACATCCAGCCGAAGATTGCTCCAAGACTAAGATGTAGACTTGCGGGCCGAGGGCATGTAAAATTTACCAGTCGCAGTCGGCAAACGATTATCACGATTTTGGAACCTGGCCTACAACCTAACCATCCAAAGATCCACTGGGCCCTGGTCATAGGATAGACCGATAGACCCGAATGAACCGCTGAACAACCTAGACACCCCAGACCCCGTTGCTGTTTGTGTTTGGAGGCTCTGATTCTGGGGGCACCCGTGACCACCCAGGGTGTGACTGCTTGGGGTGTCCTGGCATGAGGGGGTTTTGATAAAACAAAAGGCCTGGATGTTCATGACCGACCCCCTTACAATGATCTTCATGTGTGGTGAAAAAGGACCTTCGCCAGGCCGGGCGAGTTCGCCAGGCCCTCCCATTCGTCAGACCGTTGTTCGGCGGGTCTGGGACCCGGCCGGCTGACCTGGCCACCACTCGAAGCGTCCACGTGTTCCTGGGATGTGTCGCCCCAGTTGTTAATGGTGGACTCCCAAGGATCCACTGCCCAGACTTCCGGTTCCAGGGGGCCCAGACCCGCGCCAGGACGTTCTGTTGGGCCGGATCAACATGAGCGCAGAGAGGTCAAAGGAGGTGATGGTTTCGTTGGGTTCTTCCATGTTCTTCCGCAAGGGGTCTTATCCTTGGGGGGGGTGCGGGGGGGTGGGCTTTGCAAGCACCTTCCGGTCCTCGGAGCAAAGTTCGAGGTCTTCAGACCGGGACCTGGGTTTCCGGGGGCGTCCGGAGGGGCGTCCAAGCTATAGATGCCTGTTTCGAAGATGGATTGGGGTGGGTGCCACAGGGGCGTCCAACCACCTTACCTGAGGAGAGGGGCCTGGAGGTCTAATTAGGGAGAACGACTTCTGATGCTCCGCCGCGAGGTGGAGCGAGGGCAGCCACGGCCGCTGAAGCAAGCGCTGCCCCGGTCGCTGCCGGGGAACCCCGACTGCCTGGTGCCTCACAGCTGCGGCTGGTTGGCGGCTCGGCTGGGACGGCTTCGGGACCTTCAAGCTGTCATGGTCGTTCCAGTTGGGTCCAATGGATTCGAGAAAAGACAGATCATATTTACATCATGTCCAGCACCCGAAACCTGCCAGGTCTCCACAAAAGCCACTTTGAAGTCTTCACTTCCGCCACCAGAAGATCTGTAGAGTCGGGTGCTGGTTGCTAGATGAACCCTCAGATGTGGAAGCCGACACCGCTTCGACTATATACACTTCTTGGCCTTTTCCGACACAAAGAACTGGTCCCCTTCCTCACCCCTACCGGCCGAGGCGGGCCCGTTGGCACCTCTACCGGCCGAGGCGTGCTTGCAGCCGAATGGTGTGGTCTCCATTTGGGATATGTCTTGGACCCTCGGCGCGCGGCCTGTGCTTGTGAGGCTACAAGGGCTACAAGGCGGTGGGCCCTCGCGCTGGACCATCCTGGACCCAAGTTGGGGCCCCTTTACACAAGCATCCGACTCGACATGTAGGGTTGGGAAGGGCCCTGGTGGAGGTCGAGCCATTGGGTGCTGGTACAGGAAATATGGCGAAGAGCTGCGGATTCCTACCCACTGTGGGCTTAGACCAATTGAAACTGGTGGATTGCACTCCCTGAGAGTCCCGTTTGCACTCATGGCATGTGCACAAGCTCGTCACCCTCCCACTAAACCAGCCAGATGTCACAGTCTACTAGCCAGCCCCCCTAACAAATAGCTCGTAATGGCCCCTTAAGATGAACTTCGAGGCGTCCATTCACCCTTGGCGCCCATGTCGCTCGCTCGCCCTTCCTCGACCGCGCCGACCTCGCGCGGTCGCGACCCTCGCGCCGCGCGGTTCGCGACCGAGGAAGGAGGGCGCCCTGCCCTGCGAGGTGCCGCCCCAGGCGGGGCACATCGCGCGCTGCTACTTCTCGAGCCAAGGCCGGGCCCGCGCGGAACGCGACCATCCAAGCCTGCCGAGCGAGGGAGACCGAGAGGGTGAAATGAGGATGGTGACAGGTGACAGGTGTTGGAGGGTGCTGGTATAGACCCATTTAATATACCTATAGAGAGCCTGAGTGACCTGTATGTTTGGACCACCAGCCAGCCAAAATAAGATCTGGCGGGACGGTATGCGACGGTTTTGGGGGGTTTTCTGCGGATGGCCGTGGTGCCCAGACAAAAGAGACACCAACGAGTGCGTTGAAGTCGGCCCACCCATCATCCGTGAGGGTACAGCTTGGTGTGTGCTCGCATCATATGGCCCCGCGGCTCATCCTGGCCGGTTGAAGACCTGAGGCGTCGAACTCTACACGACCTTGGATCACATTGGTTGGGCTGTCATGTGCAGCACGACATGGACCGAATGATAGATTTACATGATTTACTGTAGTCATCCCCTTTGCAAGTACAATGTACGTTCCATTGCAATTATTAATTATTGATGTTTTGTGGAATGAACATGCACCCAATAATTAGCTTAGACCTCCAGTGACGCACATGGACCTACAAACCTCCAGTGAAAACAACACCGGGGCGATTTTCTTTGATTCACTCATGGCCTCCGCTTGGGGGAAGACTTGCTGGACACGAGGTCAAGCAGGAAGCCAAAGAGGAGGTAGGAGAAGGTGAGTCCATGGAGGACTTCTCAAGTGCAACTGACAAGCTCCAAGAGCTGAAGGAAGAGATGCAGGATGCAGCTACCATCGTTGGGCAGGAGGTCAGAGAGGAGGTTGAAGAGGTTGCCACCAACACCGATGCAGTAAAGCCAGCAATCCCTCCCACTGCCAAGCGTCGCCGCCTAGCTCGATGGGACATACAAAGAGAGCAAGCAGCCCAGACTTTGATTGCGGCTTTCGTCAAGACAAGGCTGATGAGCTGCAAAAGGCATTCGTCTCGAAAGTCACGAGGGAGCAAGGCGACGGCACAGCTCCTCGGGGCAGTTCTGCAGGCAGCTTTGCTGAGGGAGTCGAAGGTTTGATGTTTGCCATGGAGCAAGCACCGGAACAGGTGAGGAAGCTGCGCTGGTGCTAAGTCAGATTCCCTTGCCCCTATTTGCGGAGGGTGTCAAGGTGCTTCCACTCCTGAGGCTCCCGCAACATCAGCGAAACCCACGCGCTTCCGGAGGAACAACTCGGGAACCAGAGTGGGGTTCCAGGTGTGTGTTGGGGCGGGACTTGCTGGCAGGTCACCTGTCACAAGAAGGGTAAGAGAACCGACCGAACATCTCGAAAGTTCCCCCTCAGCAAGTTCATGAAGGAGGGCCTCACCGAGGCCGAAGCCGACGCGGCCGCGCTGGAGGCGGCCAAGGCCTTCCGCGCCGAGCTGGTGGAACAGGGCGTCCTCAAGGAGCCGAAGCCCGCGGATCTGAATTTCACCAGCGAGGTGCCGGGGGTGAGTTGGACAAAAGCAAGCAAAAAGTGGCATGTGCAGCTCACCCCCATTCCGGGAAGAAGCGGATTCATGGCGGCTGCTTCACCTACTCTCAGCCGCCGCCGAGTCCAAGGCTTTGGAGCTCGCGGTTCGCTCCACGGCTTGGAGCGCAGGGTGTGACGGCCCTGGGGTAGCCGATCTTTGGGGCCGTGGGGTGCCCTACCTCGGGGTGAGCTGGGACAGAGGAGTCAGCAGTGGCATGCGCAGTGCGATATCAACGGAAAGAAGTCGCATTTGATGGTGAAGCCGAAGGACCACCAGCGAGGCCGAGTGGGAGGCGTCCCGCCAAAGACGGCCGTCGCCTGGAGGAAGAAGCAGGAGAAGGAAAGGGTGAAGGCGGCAAAGCCAACGAGTTCAAAGAAATAGTCAAAAAGAGAGTGGATCCGAGCTGTTGGTCTCAGTGACTGGATTTCTCACATCAAGATCAGCAAGGTTCTGGTCTAATTACTTCCCATAGTTTTCGGGGTTTCTTCGGTCATATTTTCTTATTCACATTTGGGAATCTCCACGGCCCACTAGTCATCCAAGGAGTGAATGGCCTGTAAAACCAGTGAAAATCCATCCATTCGATGTGTTGGATCTATACCCATACATACACACGGACCACACACACATAACCACACACACATAATATATATATATATATTATATATAGATATTGGTATACATACCTATATAGAGCCTAGTTGACCTCAGAGAGAGACCATATTTTGGGTAGTCCCAACATCGAGGTCACGCAAAAACCACAAATTCGGAGATCCTATATCTTTTGACTTCCCCCCCCCTCCTCTGAGTTCTTCTGCCTCCGCGCCGCATGACTGGCTCCAGGTTCGTTCCTGGTCACGTGGGAGCACATGACCGCGCTGCGGCAGGAGGCCAAGGGTGAAGGGCCGCTGGGGCTGTCAAAAGGGGGGGGCGCATCGCACCAACCATGGCCGGAACTAGGAGTAGCAACCCAGGAGCCCACCTGAAGGTAGAGGCACGCTGTTCCAGCGTGTTGGAAGATCCGACGTGTTCGTCGACCGGAGCATTTTAGTGGGGGAACATTCTGGAGAAGATCGTCATGACAGATCTATCTAGCTGGTGGTGAGCGGGGATCTCAGGAGTTTAAGGGGGGGCAGCAGGGGAGTCACTGGGCACCGGGTGTTCTGCAAGCACTTAGTGAGTTGAGCGGGGAACTCGAACTCACCGAAAAACCCAGCTCAACACGGCGAGAAGCCACCTTTTGTGAACCTGGAATGAAGCAGCCGCCATCTCAGAAGTGATCACGAATGCACCGGCACATGTCCGATCCATTCTGTTGGGGCACAAAAAAACCTCCAGCAGATGGCTCAGTGCATGAGCCAAGAATCCAAGGATGCCAAAACTCAAAACTTCTCACCCTAGAAGTCCAGTTCGACGAATCTTTGGCGAAGGCACTTCATGGCACTTCTGGGGCTCGGATGTGGCCGACCGAATCAGACCACGCGGTTTAAGCCATTTCGTCGATTCATGTCTTCTTCCACCTCGCTCGGGGCGGGGCTCGCTCTGGGCGACCCTCACGGGCCAATTCACCGACACAAATACGACCTCCCTCCACTCTCCACGCTCAAGACCGAGGCGAGGTCGCGGCAAAGGATTCGGCCGCGCGGAGAACCTGAGCGTTTGGTCCCTGACGCGGCGGCCGGCGGGGCCTGAGGCGCGGACGGATGGACCGGAGGCGCAGGTGACCTCCGGTCATGGCAGGAGCGCGGTGGCCCGGTTTCTCCCTCACGGAGGTCATGAACAGAACAGACTGGTCAAGTTACAAGTTACAAGGGATTGGGGTTCCGGGTTTGGACCCACAGCCACATCACGTGGAAGTGGATGGCGCCATCCTGTTGGTGCCAGGGCCCACGGAAGTTGGGTGGTTCATGGACACCTCTTAACCTCTAACGGGAGGGCCTTGTAACATCTTGTAACGACCTTGTTGGAGAAAAAGGGTCAGCTAACTTGCCATGCCATCCTTGCACCGGAACAGAAGGAGCCTTCTTTTTGCGGAACATGGCCTTCCTCTACGAGCACTGGAATGTTGAGAACCAGAGGGGTACTTCTCCCGATCTTCTTCGAGGCTCTAGGTTCCAAAACTGCCACCCAAACCCAACTGGTAACACTCAACTGCCAAGGCAGTGCGTTTAGGACACCTCGAATTGGAAGAGTGCAGAATTAAAGGAGGTCACTCACGGGGAAACGAGGTTCATTCTGGTCATTTGGATTTCGAGGCTTTCGTCCTCTTTTCTCCTTTTCCGGAAGCCGCGGCACGCACGCGAGACTGACGTGTTTCAGGTCTTTGAGGTGCAGATTGAGAAGGGCGAGGGCAAGTCGCTTGACCTGAGGAAGATCTTCACCATTCGGGTTTGGCCTTTGCCACTTCAGCAACCAATCCACCAAGCAGTTTCCACTCCCTTCACCTCATCGGCACACTGGACCTTCAAAGCTTCAAATAAGGGAAGACATTGTCTTGGTGCGGAAGGATGAGAAGCACCTAAATGAACCAAAGTCAAGTGGAGCCCCTCAACCATCCCCAGAACCCTGAAACATCCCCAGAGCCAAATAAGATCTCAATGAAACATGACGTAAGCTCCAAATCCGCACCGCCCCACCGATGTGGCGCACATGCCCCATGCCGATGTGGGCGCCCTTGTTCCAGTGAGTCTTCATCGGGCGTTCGGTTTTGGCCCCCGATATCGGTCGGGCGAGCCGGGCGGGCCGAATCTGGATTTCTTCCCAATTCCCGGTGGCGGCAGGTGCGAGTAGTCGCCAGTACACTGGAATCATCGCATGGAAGTGGATGGCATGGCCTGGCATGGCCCCTTGGTAACCTGGTTTTCCACTTCCATGATTCTGGAGAGTCTAGCTTATTCCGAAGAATCCTGAACGTAGACTGGCCGGACATGACCTGTTTGTAGATGACCAAGGGCCGAAAACGATCTATGCTGAAACATGTGACGGAAGGGCTTTACCGTCCCTGAAATCATCATGGCTGACGTGGAGTGAACACCACCTGTGTGGTGTTTCACCACCTGTTTGGTGTTCGGATTTCATGATGAAATCGGAGCCATTTGCCCGCTTCCACCATGATTTCAAGGAGTGTATAGAACCCCTGGCATTACCATGGCAAGTGGAACATGGCCCCGAAAGGAAGAACCATGTTCCTCGACCAACAGGGGGGGCGATTCTCCATCTTCCTTTGAGTTCCAACCGAAGTGGGCGATCCGCGGCGACTGCTAAGCGCTTCGGGCTTCTCCGACTCGGCCTGGTCGGCCTGGGCGTTGGGTCGTGAGGTTGGGCATCAACGTGGACCTTTTGGATGGCCGCTCCGGCCTGCTGCTTCGCCGCGTGGACGCCGGACTCCTGCAGCGCCACAACGTCGCGCGTTCCGCGCAGCATGCCGCGCAGAGCGCGCATGCCGCGCGCGGCAGTTCGGGGGACGCGGGGAGTGCGGCGCAGCAGATGGTGTTGCCGGGAGATCAGGTCATAGGCCTGGTGAGGGGCCAGGGGAGGGGAGACACAAGAGATGGTGTTCTGAATTGGGTAGGGGCGAAGGCCACTTAGAGCGCTTAGAGACTGCAAAGAGGTCATCCTAGAAGCCCGGGTGTGTTCGTTTCCATTTGCTTGGTTCAGCAGTCTTATGCCCACTTGAGGGTGCATCTCAAAATCTCAAACTTGAAGACACCTTAATTAAACATCATTGGAAGAAAGGATAGCAGAAACGCATCTTCCAGCATTCCATCTCAGGGTGCCTTTGAGTCTCGCTTTGTCCCTGGAAAGAATGGTTACCGTACCTCCATCCTCCATGAACTACCTGACTCCTGCATCATCCCACCTCATCACTTATATAATGTATGTGTATATAAAAATACAATACACACACACACACTACACAGATATTGGTTTTGTTACATACATACATACATACATACATACATACATGCCTTTCAGCAGGACCAGGGCAATTTGAGAACAGGGCAAGAGCCTCGCCAAGTCCAACACCTCCTGCCACGGCCATGAAACCCAGCCAAACCGCAGGATCGCTCTCAGAGGCTGCCCAATACACCGAACAGGCATCATTCGCCCCAGCTGGACAAGCCACAGACTCCAGCGCGGAGCCAGAAACAGGCGAAGAAGAAGAAGTCCACGAGCAGGATGAGCTCATGGTCGACTACTTCTAGGGCTCCAACGGCGGCCAGCTCCGGCGTAGACATGCCAAAGGCATTGAGACTCAGCGGAGAGCAAAAGCACCTTTAGGATAAACAATGCATACATACATATACACACATACATACATACAGGCATACAGACAGACATACAGACATACACGCATACACACATACACATGCATGCATGCATCCATCCATCCATACATGCATGCATGAATGTATGCATACATACATGCAAGTGAGCTCACACTCACTCTCGCACTCTCTCACCCTCACTCACACTGACACTCTCTCACTCACTCTCACTCACACTCTCTCACTCACACTCACACTCATACTCACACTCGCCCACCCACTCTCACTCTCACACTCACTCTCACTCTCACTCCCACCCTCTCACTCCCACTCACGCTCTCACACTCACCCACACCCACCCACACTCACACTCACACTCACACTCACACTCACACTCACACTCTCACTCTCACTCTCACTCTCACTCTCACTCTCACTCTCACTC